TCCGTCGATCTCTTATAGGAATGTGTAAATACAAAATAATGAAAATACTAGACAAATAAAAGCCTAAGTTAAATATCAATCATCTACATATGTAGTGGCCGCCTCATTAACTTACCTATTCATTTTTTGAATTCTTCTTGAATTTGAAGAACTATATGATGGACAAAAAATTAGAGAACTGTTGTCACTCATGCCTATGTGTGTATGTATGCATGCTTATCCTCGTATTTATGTTTATTTGGGTATGTTTGTAGGCGCACCCAAATTGTTTTAAATTTCTAAATGTTTCTGCATCCTCCACAGTTGTAGGGAGATGAACCTCAGGTAACAACGCACCAGGCTTTCCTGGGAGAACTGAAATAACTAAGTTGTTAAATGATGAACGGTTGTTGCTTCGCACCTGCCTTGTGTGCTCATTAGCATAAATCATCGTAAATTTGCATAAAGGAAAATGAACAATTTCCATTTAGCAGTCGTCCCTTGAAAATGACCTAGCTGTTCAGCTAGCGGCCTTTTCTGCCAAAACTTTCAAGTGCCCACACATGAAAAGCACGCATGCATGGAAGCTGAGTTTGAAATATTTAAACTGTACTTACACAAAGAACATTGGCTTTCTAGCTTTGGTAATTTTTCTGGCAGTTCTGGGTGTTCATACGTGAGAACCCATACCTGGAAGCTAAAATTTAAAATTTGTTGTGCGTGGACGGGGAATATCTCCTTAAAATTTGAGCGTTCCAGTTTTTTGGTTACCGAGTTAGCATTTTTTCCAACAGAACTTTCTAGTACCCATACTTGAAAACCACGAATGCCTAGAAGCGAAATTTTTAATCTCTAAAGTGTGCTTGTGCAGGGAACATCCATATGAACTTCCAGCTTCTCAGATTTTCTGGCCACAGAGTTAGCAATTTTCCCACCAAATCTTTCACGTATTCGTACATGAGGACGACGAGTAGCTAGCGACTAAATTTAAAAATTTAGCTCAAACGTGTGCAGGGAATATTGCTGCAAAGTCATAACTCTCAATCTTGTCTGGTTTCCGAGGTCTCTCTTCTGTCAAAAAATTTGCATCATTTTTTTGAAAGCGTCGGTATTTGAGACCCAAGCGTGCGTAGATGAAAATATTAAAACTGAAGGATTGGTGGTGTTCATATACTTCCGAAGTTTCAGCACTCTAGCTTTTCTAGTTCTCGAGTTGACTGTACTGAAAGCATTAATGAATGAAATAAACACCATGCACAAGGTAATTAATTTTAGCCTTAGTTGATACGTCTCCTCCGCTAAGTAGCACACATCCTAGCTCAGCGACACAACCGCACCTCGTCAGTATATAACGACTGTAGCATATATCTAAATAAGAATAGTTTACAGTCCTACCACATCTGTCTTTGTGTGTCTTTCTGTTTGTTTGCAAAAATTAACACATTCGCTGAGGATTTAAGGAATTGATTTGAGCTTCCTTACCTCCTTAGCTAAGGAAATTTGGGAGCTCATGCTTTAAGATTATAATTTTCGATTACCGCGGAAATGTTTCTGTTCACACCTGTTTCTTAGCTTAAGTAGTGATAAAACTGTGCAGTAATAACTACTATCTTTCAGTGTGTTTCAGCCTGCCTGTGACTTTATACCTAAATTCCAGGGAATTCCCAAATTTCTTGCCGAGCATGATTGAAATTTGCTTTGAAATTTCATCTTATCTGCACACTTGCTTCGAGTCCCCTTTGATTTTTAATCTCGAAGCAGATAAAGTTGTACATTCAATGTTTTTTGACTTCTGTTACTCGCTTAGTTTGGAACAAATAGTGTTAAATTAGCATTGAAATATTAGGATTTCCTGCACTTTCCATTGTGCTTCCAGATTCGAGCTTGTTTTGAGGTACCATAAAAGAGCATGTTGTGATTTTTGGTGATCTGTGCTCTGGGCCAATTAAAAGCAATTCAAAACGAAGCCACCTGTGTATTGCTGACGTATTTACCAAATGGATACCTGTAACAGCTTACTAAGGGCAGCTGATTATGCATATGCACATGCATGCATCATAATTTACGGCAAAGAAAGGCCAACAAGTCGTTATCGAACTGCACCAAATATCCACGCGGTTAATGACTTTGACATTTTTTTATGCCACCAACTTGTTTTTTTGAAAACACATATCATACCCGATGATTGAAAGCTGTTTTGGATCACAAAGCTACTAGGCCAGCTCTGATAAAATTGTTAACTGAATGAAGTTGGCAGATGTGTTGAAGTAAAACTACTCACATCAAGCACAAAGCAAATCTGGTCACGGAGGGGAAGTAAGAGCGGGCGGTAACGTTTCAACCATTAACGGTGGATGATCACGCTTTGAATATCTATGTCACCAAGTGTAGTGAGATTGTAATTGTGATCGAGAAATCAGCATACTCTTTTCTTTATATCATATCATCAAAGAACTACTGCAAAGGGATAAAAATTTCGAGATCAGAATAACAACAGCATCAGCAAAACAGATGTTTCTTAATCAATTGGAACTAATTGAACATTGCTACTGATCACGGTCCTTGAACGGCTTTGGCCATTTTGTACGAATACTGCTGCCGGCGACAAGCGTTCCACTTTTGTTCTGCGACAGATGTGTCGAAAACATTCGACGAGAGGTTCATTAAGCGGCTTTATGAAGCATAAATCCACCAGTGCCCTCAAAAATTTGTCCCATGCAGTCGCTATTGCATAAACAACCGTCAGTATATTAAATGCTCGGGATTTTGCGATAGCCATGTGCAGAAAAGCTGGCAGCGTGTACAGAATTACCGGCATGACTGTCTAAAAGTAAAAACTCAGCAAATCGTTACTCTTAAAGTACTTTTTGCTTAGCGCCTAGCGACCCATCATTGTAGCTTTGGTAAATTTACGTCTTGTGCACTTTCGCCTTCATCTCCGCCACCTTTACAAACCTACCTGATTTTTATGCGTTTTTTGCAGCTATACAATGCAAAAACGCATACTAATGAGGGGTTGTGTGTGTGTCTGTGTGTCTGTGTGTGCGTCTGTCACGCACTTTCATCTCAAGACCTATAAAAGCTGCA